TACACTAGGGCTATCTGCGCTAGCCGTCCCTAATTTAGCAGTGTAAGACTAGAGGGAAGGCAGCTAGTCATCACCACCCACCGCCAACTCTTGGGCTACTCTTTTACCAATGGATTGATCCCACGTTTGAAAGGGCGAGCATGTTTGATGTGACTAGGATTCGAACCCGAGACTCTCAGATTAAGAGTCGAGCGCCTTAAACCACCTGGCCATGCTTGTAATAAATAAGTTATATACAAATTAAAATATACAGTCTCATGTGAAGCACAAAGTTTATGTTTTGATTATAGGATTTTACTACACGATTCAACAAACATATGCGATCAATTTAAATCGTAGAGATAATGTTAACATAAATGTGAATATTACCTCAGTTCACCGAAAATGTTGAACGTGTAAACTAGTTTAAAATATTTCGTCAAGAGTTAATATACATGTTTTAAAGTAATGTACATTCGGTTATACATAAATATAGAAAACAAAGAACCAAAAACTGATAAAAACAGAAAATACGTGTGATTTTTGTTCCACTCTTACTTGTGTATCTGTTAAAACTAGGAAAAGCAAAACTGCTACTCAAAGAGCCAGAGTGATTGTTGAATTGGAAAACCAAAACCTTATAAAAAAGATCTGATCATGCTTCTCCAGCCTGGGAGTTATACACCGTAAAATTTAACATGAAGATGAGTTTTTGTACAGCTGTTGTATATTGTACAGTACCATTAATAAAGAGTTATAAACGATTGATACGATAATTAATTCTCATGAAAAGATTGATAACCAGTTACCACGCTCATTAAATTATTAGATTGGATTAATCATTTTATGTTGTATAAACTTTGTTCTTGTCGCTATGTGTGTGATATTTCAGAGTGTGGATGAGGTCCGTGTTTATTAGATTGAAGGAATGGGCTTAATGAAGTTACTGTTTCCACCCCCTCTCCTTTTGTATAATATATATACAGACACTAAATTGCTCATCTAATCGGGTACGTTTCGAGGCTGTACAATGCCCACTTCACACAGGTTGAATGAATCAGCTCTTTACTAAAAGTAAAAATTAGTGGACACTCTTCTCTTCCATCGCCCCGTTTTTCTTTTACGTCCAAACCCCAACTCCCTCATTCGCCGTAATCAGCATGGACGCAGTAGTATGAACCACGTACTTCAGCTGTTAAATATCCCTAATTCTGCTGGGATTTCACTGCAAGTCTTGTGTGTTATTGATTGGATATGAAATCAAGAGGAATTTCTCTGTGTACCTTCCACATCTATACACGATAACACACACACACGCGCACATTATGTTTATGCTTATTTGACCTGCCACTTTTGTCCAACTCGGTTTATCCTTTTATCTTTATATATATTTTGTACGCTATAGCGTCATGAGTAGAAAACTGAATTATTTTTTTAATGAATTTTCTTAAATACAAGCCACAGGATACTGTTTGTATGTAAAAACAAATCACACAGTAGACAGGTGGTGTTTTTTAAGGATAAAAATTATTGATCAATCCTGATGGTGAGGAAACCGTAGACTATTGAAAAAAAAAAAGATCTCCAAGTTTGAATACATTACATATGAGACATATCAAATTGTTAAGGATACCCAAAAAGATCGAATACCCACCGAAAATTTGTACTTGCCGTAACCAGACATGTTTTATTAGCAAGTTTTTCAGGTTGAAAACATGTTTAAAGTGCAGCTTTAATGAAACATTAAAATTCCGGGAGAAAGGGACTAAATCAAAATGGTGTCAAAATAAAGAATACCCAGAGAAGCTTAAAAATAAAAGAGAATATAGAGAGAACTAGAGCGGACTGAAGAGACATAAACAGAGATAATGCCCAAAAGTGGTTAAAACATACAGAAACAAATCACAAAAAAGCCTTAAGAAACAAGAACATAGAAAAAAAAAGAACACGACGTTTAAAGATATAAATATAACGATAAACCCCAACAGTAAAAATGCCAAGAAAATCGTCTGGAGAACAAACGTGAAGCGGGCTTAAGAACAAAAAAAAAGATGGGACGAAAAATAAAACCTAAAAAAATAACATGGGGGTAAATTTATAAAAGATGTTTTGTAAAATAAGACCCACTAAAGGAACACACAAACACGGCTTTCGAATAAAATCAAACCATCATTTCATGGGTTATAATTACCCTATTTACAGAAACTAAGTTCATGTAAAGACTAGTTTATGTCAGACCAAAATCCTTGTTTTAAGTCTATCAATACCGCCACCTGCGTATAGAAAGCGCATCTTTAAATGTTCTAGGCTGGTTCTTATAGAAGATTAAAAAATATATTTAAAATAGGTAGAGGCATAGTCTTCTATCCCTTAAAACACGTCATGATTTCATTTATTCTGGTAATGTAAGTATAGAAATGTTGCATGTGTAAAAATATCTAATCTACGGATTAATCTAATCCTATCTTATGAGGATGTTCGGATACATATGCTCCCATAATCTGGTCTCTCTTAAATAAATCGATTTCGGTTACTCCTTCTTTGGATCACTCCGAGGTTTTTGCGCTCTTGCGAAGCCTTCCTTCTTCCCCCAGACTGCCTCAGAGGTTTTTTTGTCTTTCCATCGCAAATGTAATCAAACGATGTCCACGCGGCAACCTTCGATTTTCTTTATCCCCCGGTTTAATATAAGCAACATACTTGACAGGCGAAGTAATGGACGAGCTAAGGGCTTAGGGAATAATCAAACGACGTAAAAATAAAACTGTTTCGTATTCATCATTACGGACTTCTGTTAGGTCCTGATTAAACGGAATTTATCTGTCATTGTCAAACTTGGCAGCCAAAAGGCAAGGTTAGGTATAACGTTACAAAAATATGTGTCCATGAGATTTATAGCACATACATGTATCACCCATATCACGTCTTGTATGTACAGAAGTATTAAAGAAACAGTTTTTAATTAATGACCAGATGAACAATCAAAATTGAGTGATGGCTAAACTTTCGTAATGTCGTTACCAAAAATGAGCGAAAGAAAAAAAAAATGAGTGCATTTACCAAATATCTTTGTGTGGTTTTATTATCACGTTGTACGTCTGTAGGCTAAAAATCGGGTTTCTACTCCAGTGTTGGGCAGAGAACATAAAGTCGACTTTATGGTTTTTGCTCTTAGCAACAAACAAACAAATCTTTCTTTTGGCCCGTCTCGTAACTACGAAAATTCAAATTATAAGGCCTGGTCATTTTAGTATGAAATGTGTTCTTGAAATAGCGCGCGCATGTTTGAGAGATGTACGTTAGCAGATTTACACAGCCTACCAATAAGTAAATAGACAACCCACTCTGGAAACAGTGCAGTTTTTAATAAAATAAACACAAAACAAAGGCTACTAGATTACCAAATAATATTTATTGGACATGCCTTTAGCAATATTTCAGGCAGAAACACTCGTACACATCACATTGACAGTGTCCGAGATCTAGACCTACAAGACTACCGAGGAAGAACGTAAATGACAGAGTACAGATGGTTGTTTCGGAAGCTTTTGCAGAGAAAGGTCAAAATAGAGTTCATTGGTTACGGGAGAGTGGCATTGCTCGCCCTTTCAGCCGTGGGGGCGTTATAAGGTGACGGTCAATCGCACTATTCGTTGGTAAAAGAGTAGGTAACCCAAGAGTTGGCGGTGGGTGGTGATGACTAGCTGCCTTCCCTGTTGTCTAACGCAGATAGCCCTCGTGTAGCTTTGCGCGAAATTCATAACAAACAAACAAACAAGCAAAATCTGTTGTTTTTCCATCATGACTAAAATTGCACGGCGATGTCGCCAGTGACCTGGTGACTTGTCGCTGACTTTGACTGGCCTCCCATTGTTCATTTGCGCAAAATCGAGGAAATACAGTTAATTCTTGAAATTCTCTCGTTCGAGGCGTGGCTGTTTGTATTCTAAGGTCTTTACCGAGCCATAACTATATTTATACGTCAGGATTATTTGCATATTACGTCATAGAGACGGTCGATATATATTGTTAGGGGTATATATTCACTTATTGATAGGATGTGTACATTATTTCATGACCGCTTACAAAATAAAGTCTTCGCCCCTTTGTAAATAAATTATTTATTGATATTTATCGACTAGCTATTTGCTGTTAGTATTTAAATTTTCTACTGATTGTAGCGACAAAGAAACTGTCGTCACTGTATCTCATGAAGACCAACTAGAGAAACCATAAATAATATTTTCATTTTAAATAATCTTGGCTTTTATATTGAAGGTGGGATTTATACGAACCGTTTTGGATAATAGTCTGTATATTGATTAAATCTATAGCAAGAAACTGAGTTTAGTGCAAATATTATGCTCTGTCAGCTCTTGCATCTTCGTGTGTGTATGTGTGTGCCCGAATTTGAGGAATCATGCTTCGAGGCTTGTTTCCGTAAATATGCGCTCCTCTCTTTCGGTCTGTGAATGCGCTATAAGAGTGACGGTCAAATCCTACTATTCAGACAGCCAAAAATATCCCAAGAATTTCAGGTTGGTGCTGTTTGCTAGCTGCCTTCTCTTTAGTCGATGAGATAGACCTTTGATAGATCGATACGCTTAGCAACTACCAAACAACTAGTCTGTGAATTCAAAATAAGGAACGGCTATGCGCAGAAAGCCCTTACATAGATTTGTGTGTGTGTGTGTGAAATTGTGAAAGAAATAAATATTTACCTGTATTCATTATATACTTTAAGTGACGAATATTACATCACTCGTAATACAGGAGCGTTACAGTGAGGGAGTTAAGCTGTAGTTGTATTTAAACCTCGTGATTCGTAAGCCTGGGTAGGATAGCTTGTTTCTTGAGTGGCTTGTGTTGCGGTTAACTTGGCTCTGAGCCAGACGTTACTTACTTCTTTAATTTGTACACCGAACGTTGTTGGCTTAGCTTCCAATCACTCCCGTAGTTGGCGTACAGAAAAATTTTGTCAACAATAGAAAATAAGAGTATTTGTTTATTCTCTTCCCCAGGGTGTTATTGAGCCGAACAGTGAAACTGTTTTCTACTTGGCAGCACTTGCACTACAAGAAATAGCAGGGGACTACACTGAGTAAGTATAGAGTGATAAACAGTTTATCTTAATATGTAAAAAATAAGTTATTACCTGAAAAAAAAAAATGGACATGGCTTGTTGGACCCATTCTTGGCGTTTAACTTCAAAATTTTTTAATAGTAATTTAAACACACATTATCTATCTCTAAATATTACTACCATCTTTCCTATACTGCTTTTGGTCTGAAATCTTCCCTAATTTATTCAATTCATTTTGTGTTGAAAATTGTTTTGAAAAAGCAACTTTAAATGCTGCACAAAGGCTTTTAACCCTCAGAGTATAAATGGAGGGGAGGAGAAAGAGTCGTGAGGAAGGAAAGGTAGTTTGAAGACTTTCAAATTTGACTAAACCAATGTACTTGAAAAGTGGTATTAATATCTAAGAAGCCTTAAAAACAATAGCCTTAGTTCACATTTTGTGAACTTTCAAATTGGAATGCTATAGAGTAAAAAAGATGGATTTACATAAACATTGTTATAAAAAAAAAGGGATCGTTCAAAATAAGTATACCCCTTTAAAACTTCGTAAGTTTCAATTTGTCGAATAAAGGGAGGTTTGAGGGCTCTTAAGATTATCTTCTTGGTTTAAATTGAAAACTGGCAAAAACAGTTTTTCTGTTCAAATCAAATTGACAAAAATGTTTTTGAGTAAATGTTTTTGTTTTTTTTTCCTAGCGAGCTTTAACTGATAATTTATTGGTGTGTGTGTGTGTGTGTGCGTGTATTTGCAATGATAATTATTTTCTCACCACTGATACCTGCTTATAAAACTTTATTTATAATTAATAAAATCGCATTAGAAACACACCAGTACTTAAAAATTCATTATTTTCATTAATTAACAAAACGTTTTGAAAAATTACTTTATTCTTATCTCGGCCCCCCAGTGGCACAGCGGGATGTCTGCGGACTTACAACGCTAGAATCCGGGTTTCGATACCCTTGGTGGGCAGAGCACAGATAGCCCATTGTGTAGCTTTGTGCTTAAATAGAAACAAATTATTCTTATCTTGTAAGTGGCTGACTTTATTCAATATTTACTTTCTATACTAATTAAGTACATCAGTAACGTACTTGTATCTGTGACATCTCTGATATAAACACTGTAGTAATGATTGTTTTGATTATGTTTATCTACCGCACAAGTGTGACGTTTTTCTTACTACGTGAATATCAACCATATAAAAATCAGATGACTGTGGAGGCCTATAAGCATGTATGTTCTGAATATCATATATCTTATTTCATTCTGTTTACAAATTGTGGACTTAACAAGGAAAACAGGACCTCATAATTGTTATAATAATTTGTGTATTTTATGTTGTAAAACTAAAAGAGCATATACATATACATGCACACACGTATCCACGTGTGCTCGTGTTTTACATACCTCTGTGTGTCTGTATATGTATATATATATATATATATGTAATGTGTTTGTGTGTGTGTATATGTATGTGGAAAGGGAGAGAGGCTTCAGTTAATGAGCACAGTAGGTCAATGCTTTTGGAAACCAGGAGCTCATCAATAACCAAGCGTGTAGGAACTGTTAATTTCACGCGAATGTAAATGTGTTAGAGCAGGTTCAATCAAGATGATTAGTACGTTAACTTAAATTGATTATGTAATTACTGGGAGCTAGGATTAAACTTAGATATTGGCTGGAGGGCTCTTGGATGTTTTACTTGACACATTAGATAACATTTTTTGTCAACATACTTGGTAAGTTTGCGGACTTACAATGCTAAAATCCGGGGTTCGATTCTCCCAGTGTACAGAGCGCAGATAGCCCATTGTGTAGCTTTGTGCTAAAACAACATACCTGTTTAAAACATGACAATGATGTTCACCATGCAAGAACCATAACGATCTACAAGAAACGTTTGTGGTGGAGGACAAGGATATTGGCCTTAACTCTCTCATTGCTGGTGATTTAGTGCTTCAAGTTAGCATTAGTTTTGGATATAGCTTTTCTGAAATAAATGGACCAAAAGCGAATGAATGAAAGTGTACTTACTCAGTTATGACAAATACTGAGTAAAAGTTTTCATCAGATTTGCTGTCATACGGTAAGAAACAAAGAAAGTGGTTTTAGACTTACTTGTGACTCGTGATTAACTTTGTATCTATCCATCCATTCATATATCTATCTGTCTATCAGCTACGTACAATGGTACAATGACTATACCAATGCTAATGGCAATCTAGATTTATTTTGTTTTATGACAGTAATCATTAGTGGATAAATTCATTTATTTTCACTAAAGTAAATAATATTTGTTTTCGTCCCTGGGCTTCAGGTCTTACAATACTAGAATCTGAGGTTCGATCCTGCGGTAGACACAGCGCAGATAGCTCATTGTACAACTTTGTATATAAGTGATGGATTACAGATACACATTATATATATATATATATATATATGTAAAGAAAGCATTCCACCAAAATGGTGGCTGTCTGTAACATTGTTTCATATTAATCTTCTTGTGTTGACCATCTAAATTAGCTTAAGATAAATATTCTTAGAAGGTTCACAATTTCATGCTCGTTCCATTAGTTGTTTTTGAAATTATTATTCTCCTTGTAATAGATTTTTTAAACCATCGGTAGACTAAATATGCTTCAGTTACAGCTAACTGACCAGTTATACTAAGGTCTCAGTGCAGATTCGTTGTATGTTAAAGCACGACAGTTTTATATGTTCGTTTTTAACAGTTGTGGAACCTAGCTCTGGTATCCATTTAAGAACGTCTTGTTAAAGCAATGCTACTTGTTAAAAGAAACGAGATAAACGTTATTTTGTAAGACGCAGCGAGACTGAGATTTTGAAAATGGTAGCTGTTTGATTATTGAGATTTTGAAGATAGTAACTATGTGATTGGTGAGATTTTGAACGTGGTAGCCGTGTGATTGGTGAGATTTTGAAGATGGTAGCTGTGTGATTAGTGAAGATATTTTCATCTTTTGGAACACATTGGGTTTATTGAAAGGAAAACTAATAACTGTTACATCTAGACACTCACGTATGCACTTCAATTAAACTGATGTTCTTGAAGTATATTCGTATCATCTATAAACATAACGTTTATTATACTCAAAGGTTTTATGACGTTATTATTTAAGTGTCCATTGTGTTTCTGAATTCAAGTACAATTAAAGATGCCAACATTCTCGGGCGAATGCAACGCGTCTCCGCCATGCAATCCCAACAATGCCAATTTTGACACCAGAAAAATCAAAAACTGACTACATCACTGCTTTAAACCTGTAAGGAAGTATCTTTTTTTACCAAATGCCATATAAATTGGGCCGACAAACGGTGAGTAGTTGTCAAAAAAACTCTAATATTATGCTTTCTGTGGCATCTTGACCCCCTCCCCATAATTACTAAAAATGGGCAAGTCCAGCATTTTTGTTTGTCAATGGGTGTTGTAAATTGGTTGAAACAATGTTAAGAAATTGACCAAAACCCCTAAAATTATGGTTTTAACCTTTGACCCCCATTAAATGACGAAAGGTGGGCATATCACACATTTTTGTATCACCAATTTCATATAAATTAGCCGAAATAAGGTGGAATAAATGTAAATAAAACCCTAAAATTATGCTTTTTGTGGCATCTTGAAAACCCTGTAGAAAATTATTTTTTTACCAAATTCCATGTAAATTGGTCACAATATGGTCGAATAATTGATCAAACCCCCAAATTTAAGCTTTTTTGTGATCTCTGAGCCCCACTAAAAAGATTCAAAACGGGCAAGTCCAACTTTTTTGTATTTCAATGTGTTGGACGCATGAAAATTTAACGTGTGGCAATTTTCATCTTGATTGCTGTAAATATGACCGCACAGTAACCCAAAATATACATTTTTGGGGTTATTTGACC